CAATTTCAATGAGGACTTTGAATGTTGCCAAGTTAAACCCTGAGTTACCTGGAAAATAGTCAAAATGAGGAGACTCAGCAATGTTACTGCAGTGATACAAAGGGTCAGACCACAGTACTCAGGCTATGTCTAAACTGCGAGCCTCTTCCACAAGAGGAAATGCAAATGGAGTGCTCATTTGCATATGTCACACTCTCATTTGCATTTCCTCTTCCTTTCCCTTTTGCGCAAGAGGTTTTTGCGCAAAAAAGCACTGTGCAGATGGCGCCTTTTTGCACAAAAACCCCCTTCCAGAGATTCTCTTTTCAATAAAGGGAAAGACTAAAAAACTTCAGTTTTGGTACATCAAATATTGTTAAGAACGGTTTGCTTTTGTGAGCCAAAAAACATTTATTTTCCTATTTTAGCTAACTGTACTTGTACTGTGACAAAAAAATAGTCTGAGACCCTAGACGATTCCGACACCACTATGACATGAGTCTTACCCTCTTCACGTGTAACATACCATAATAATGCAGAACTAGACCAGATCATAAAGTTATAACATCAAGTTTACTGTCCTGCCTCACCTACCAACAGATGCTTCAAAAGGCAGCAAATATCAAATGTAGAACAGGAAACGATACCATCTTGACTGGAAGATTAGACTGCTAAACATTTGTTCTTATATTAATTTTCACCATATAAAACAGATATAACATGTGAACAGTGTGGTGTTCTATAAAATTGTAACAAAACCTACAACAATGCAACTCTGTGTCTGCAAATTTAAAAAGCAAGAGAGATTGACAATGAGGACGACAAATCAGCATGTGCTATTTTAACGTTTAGGAATGCAAAAATACTATACATCTGCTATGTGAAATAGTTAACATTGCTAGGAAGAACCTTAACTTTTCACTATTTCCCAGCTTTTAAAGTTTTCAACTGTTAATGTTGCATTAATATAACTTTAATACAAAACCCATTTTATAAAAACAGACAAACAAAAAAGCCATGGCTCTGACATGTACCACCTGCAGTATCATAAATAAAAAGAGAATAAAAATTTCTTTACTGTGCATGAGTTAAAAGTTGATTTTTAAGGGGACACTGTAATATGGCACTTCTCCCAATCTTGGATTACCACTCACAAATCTGTTTAAAATATCTCTGATGGGAACTGTGTGACTGCTATGCACAACCCCACAGTTGTAGGACAGAGTGTTGATTTACACTAACCAGGATAATGTCTAAGGGCTCGTGTAAACTATGCTGAAGTTTCGAAAGAGGATATGTAAATTCCCCGGGAATTTGCATATCTTCTCTGCTCTCACATTTGAAGGCGGAGCTTTCTAAAGTGAAAGTAGTTGTAATGTGTTTTTTTCCGGCAAACGCTTCCCGTTTCAAAAAGCTGCGTAAACCTCATTTTCAAAAGTGAGATTGGAAGTACCTCTTTTGAAACTTCAGCATAGTCTAGACATAGCCTAGGATGAACAGAACACTCCATCTCAAATTATAACTGCTTACTTCAGGAGTAGGCAATAATTTTTGAAGGGGGGCCACTTCACAAATTTCTGAAGTGGTTGCAGGCTGCCCTGCAATGGGCAGGGCCTTAGGCAGAAGGGATAGGGCCAAGAGGCTTCCTGTGTTTACCTACCCACAGACACTGATTGGCCTGGGGAGCAGGGGAAGCACAGGAGGTCTTTGCCCTCCGCCCAGCAGTGCCTGGAGCAATGGTCTCCAACCTTTTTAACCATAAGATCACTTTTTGAATTTAAGTGCAATGTAAGAGCTACCTCACACCCAAATATCCTTGCCCCGCCTCCTTCATGCCTCTTCTCTGAGGACCTGGCAGCAAGGACCATGTGCTCTGCAAATAAAGAGCCTGAGGGGAGGAGGGAGTGGTGCCTCACACACTGCCTGCTCTACAAACACGCATCTCCCATTTAAATATGGCAGACAGGCTACTGGGCTAGATGGACCCAGTATGGCCATTTGGTCTGGCCATTCTTATGTTCTTAAATATAAAAAGCCAGAAACCGGCCAATGGGATTGTGCTGGGGGTGGAAGCAATGCATAAAGCACCACTCCTCCCTCCCCTCTGCTCAGTTTGTGGAACACAAACGGCCCAGCAGCCGCTTTTCTGAGCGTCATGCAAGGGCGGGGCAAGCAGGCCTGAGGTTTCCTGCTGCATCTGTGGGCCAAATCTGGTGGCTCGGGAGGCCGGATCCGGCCCGCGGAGGATGTTTTGCCCAGACTTTGTTTACTTGAACCACTGTAACTTGCAATAGTGTAATCCTGTTGTATAGATGAAGTTTCAAGCTAATCTAAGTGAAAAAGGCAACAGGACTCTGTACAGCACATTACATTAGAAACTTCTGCAACCAAGTCAGGTGATTCAGAACTTGACTACACCAGGAAATTTAGACATTGCTGACTATTAGCAAACGGTGCAGATGAACCAGTGCTGAAAATCATTAAAACTACAAGAGTAAGAAGGACCAAACCATGTTCAGAAGATATGACTGAAGCACAGTAAACACCATCTCTTCATCTTTAACTATTGGACACTTCTCTTCTACCTTCTTGCAAGCTTCTCCAGATCTGCTGCTGGCAGTAAACTCCCTGATTTATGGGAAGTTCATAGGTATTGATCAAAAACAAGTGTATCAGCTCAAGGTCTCATTAGCACACTTATTCAGGTCTATTTAAGGCTTGATCAATTACTTCCATCTCTTTATCTAGCAACTGGCAGTGTGAACACAACCAATTATGTTTCAGTACCTTCGCTCTGCCCGCTCCTTCTTTTTCAATACAACATCCAGCTCTTGCAACTGTTCTTCTAACTTCTCACAGAGTAATTTCTAGAGGGATAATACATAGTATTAGTTTCTTGCATAAGCAAATACTTTCATTAATCAATTTATTTAGACTCTTAATTCACTGTTTTCACATTTGCCTTAGCGATATCTGGAATGGGGATACTTCAAATTCCTCGTTTTCTTTGTACAGGCAGTCCCCGGGTTACGTACAAGATAGGGACTGTAGGTTTGTTCTTAAGTTGAATCTGTATGTAAGTCGGAACTGGCGGCCAGATTCAGCCGCTGCTTACATACAGATTCAACTTAAGAACCCCAAGCGTCCCCAAGTCAGCTGCTGCTGAAACTGATCAGC